GCTGATTTGTCAGGATTGTGTGTAGTGTTGATGTTCATGGCTGACACCGTAACGGCAGACGTTGGGGCCGTGGAGGGGGAGGGTGGTAGTTGTGGTTGAAGATGGCAACCAGAGTTAATTGACGGCGTGGGAGGCGAGGGAGAGGTGAGCAGAAGGACGACCGTTGGTGCAGTCCGAATGCTGCAGTTGATCCGGAGTTGTCCAACAAGTACATTTAACACCTGGAATGTCCGCTGACACCGAGGACACGTTGGAGGCGGTTGTGCATTGACATTTCAAGGTGAGTGCAGCTGTGATTTGCGTGCTTCGCATTCGGCTTGCGCGGCGGCGATGCGGTTTGCCTCGTAGATCTCAGCGCCTGTTTTCACTGTTCTCCTCCAGGTCGATCGGTCTTAAGCTAGGTCATCCCAGTTTGCCGGGTTGATCTTCAGGCACTTCAGGGAGGTTTTCAGAGTATCCTTGTATCGACGGATGTGACCTCCTTGGCGGTTAGAACCAGTGGCGACGTCTCCATAGAAGAGTCGTTTGGGTAGGCGCCCGTCATCCGTCCGCAAGAGGTAGCCGCTCCAACGCAATTGTCTCAACATGGCGTAGATGCTGAGGATTTCCGTCCTCTCCCGTACGTCAATGTCTGGAATCCGGTCCTGCTACCTCAGCTTCAGTATCCGGTGGAGATAACTGATGTGGAAGTGGGTGAATCGGCCTGCCTGCTTCGTGTACATCGTCCAAGTCTCTGCTGCATACAGCAGAGTCGGGAGAATGACGTCCTCGTACATCTCCAGTTTCGTGCTGAGTTGAAGACCGTGACGATTCCAAACTGTGTTTTGAAGACAAACGAAGGCTTGACTGACCTTCGAAATCTGGCGGGCCACTTCGTCGTCGATTTTGGTGCTTAGGGACATGGTACTGCCCAGATACGTAAAGTTGTCCAGCACTTGCAGTTGGGTTGCATTCACGCTGATTTGCAGCCAATTGTGGGGGGCTGTGTTGGGTGGCGGTTTGTGCATGACCACCGCCTTCTCCCTGTTGATGATCAGACCGAAGTTCTCGCAGGCGACGGACAAGAAATCCATGCTCCTTTGCATGTCTCCTTCAGTATTTGTATTCAGGCCGCAGTCTTTAGCGAAGAGAAGTCCGTGGACGATGGTTGGGGACACACGCGATTGGAAGTGCATCCGTCGGTAGTTGGGGGGTTGGCCGTCCGTCCTGTAGGCAATGCGGATCTAAGGGCGTTCGTCACGATAGGCTTCCATCAACGTCTCAGAGAACATAATACTGAAATGGGGAAGGCGCGAGGACGCAGCCCCGCTTCATTCCGCTGGTCACTACGAATGCCTCTGAGACAGCTCCATTGCTCGTGACTCGCGCCATCATGCCATCGTGGAGCTGACGCACCATCTGAGTGAATCGCTTGGGACAGCCGAATTTTCGTATGATTTTATACAGTCCTTTACGATTCACCGTGTCGAGGGCCTTCGTCAGATCCACGAAGGTAGAGTGCAAGTGAGTCCGCATCTCCTGGCACTTCTCTTGAAGTTGACGGGCGGCGAAGGTCATGTCCGTGGTCCCACGATGACGCCGAAAGCCGCACTAGCTTTCCGGTAGAAGACTTTGTTCCAGGTGATTATTCAGGCGGTTGAGAAGAATGTGAGCGATAATTTTCCCGGCGATATTCAATAAGGAAATGTCTCGGTGGTTGTCGCAGATTTGGCGGTTTCCTTTCCGTTTGTATAGATGCACGATTGTAGCGTCCTTGAAGTCCTGTGGGACTTCTCCTTGACGCCATATCACCTGGAAGAGCGCCGTCAGATGACGCATGATTTGGATGCCACCGTGCTTGTAGATATCAGCAGGGATCGGACACGATTTTCTACCGAATAAGTAAAAAAATGAATATTTTTATGCATGTTTTCCATAAAATATAATTGACCTTTCAAGGGCATCGAAAATCAATGAGAAAATTGCATGCTACTTAAGTAGTATTTTTTGTAGAGTATAGTTCTTGTGGCCGACACCCTGAGGCAATTGGGCCATTATAGAATTATGCTGCATAATGATTAGTTTTACAACCCTACGTAATGAATCTTATCGAAACGAGAACGTATTTCGAAATTTCGGATGACATTTCATGAGTTAGCCCACCTACTGTACCTCTCGGTCTGATTGTTAGTTTTACAGTTTCGGAATTTTTATCTGCTTTTATTACTTTGTCTAGCCTTTGACCGGCGTGCTGTCGCCTGCTCTCATGCTTCACCCTTTCTATTTCCTATGTCTGTTTATTTTTTGCCTGCCCGAGTCTCATGCTGCTGTCGTGCCCTTTCACTGGTACTGGCGCTTGCTCTCCTGGCTGCACTGCGCTGTCTCCGCGCATTCTAAAGTCCTGTTGAGAACTGCAATTATTCCACTTCTTCATAGCCGTGCGTATACTAACAAAAAGTATCGACCGATGTTGGAGTCCTCAGACCTCCGGACCAGCTCTACACATTGCTCTTAGGAAGACGAGGATTACTCAGGTTAGCCATGTAATCAGACACGCACATTTTCTTTCACTCAGTATTCAGGAACTACTGTTTTCTTGCAGCGTACACAATATATAGGACTACCATTGCGTCTGGGTATTTCAGCTTCGCACGTTGAGTGTCCTTTTCTGGAAGCTTTTTATTTGGAGCCTACACATTGTTTGGCGAAAGTTTTTTAGGAAAAAATAAATTTTATTGATATTTTGCTGTGTTTAAACTAGTATTAATATTTAAAAATTAGTAAGTCTTTTTTGCATAAAAGTATATGTGGTCACTCAAATAAAGAAAAATGGCAACGGACATTACAGGTATGCTCTATGAAAGAAAGGAATCTGCGAATAAGTGAACCTGAGAATACCGAATCGAGAATAGGCGGAGATCAACTGTATTTGTTGCTCACTTTTACTTGTTCAGGCATTTGGCAACACACACTAACTTCCATAATCTAGTAACAACAAAGTGGTTATTTGGTATGTCAGCAGCACTTCAGGCTACTTGGTACCATATTGTCAAATTTTGCGTAATTTTTTACGCAAAGCGAAGCAGAAGTCTTGATTTTTTCAGTGTTCCGGGTCAAAAAGTCTCGCAGATTAATCTGCAGTATTAAACATTCAAAACAAGATCTCGGATCTATGTTGGCAGACGGAGGTACCACATGTGTCGTTTTTAGAGACCATCAGAAGTACACATACCGTATTTTAGACGGTTTAGACCTGAATCCAGCTCTGAAACTTTAATTGTTTGGCAAATACCTCACATATGAAATTGGTAGCAGGCATAAACAGTGAAGCTCAAAGTGGTCAAACAAAATACATTCGGTCAGAACAAGGGACGAGGGCTTTGCGTCCGCAGTTGCCTACGAAACTGATCCATTATCCTGCCAAAATACTGACCAGCGTATAGGCCACAAATGCCGCTAGATTGAAAACAACTTCGGTGGTAACGCTAAGGTAGCATGTGTCGGGAGTGTTAACTTCGACATCATACTCGATTGTTTTGTGTTTACTGCTCGAAAATCCGAAAACATCCGTCTACTGGCCTAAACGAATTGAAGGACGCCATTCTCCACAGTCTACGGCCGAGGCGTGCACGGCCGAAGCACCGGACTTTTGGCTAGCTGAAAAACAAAGCCCATAGGAATAGGGTGCATTTTGGTGTAAGTGGAATTAGTGGGGGCTAAGTAAAACTGGGATTTTCCTTTCGTTTCTAGGTATTGAGTTATTGCTGGAACACAATAGGACTAGGTTCATCTATA